CGATCTTAAAGGTTGCTGTAGCCTGCGGGGCTGTTTGGGAAGAACTAAACTCTTGAAAGGATTCTGGTTTAAAACCTAGAAAAAAGATTGGAAGTTTATGTGTACATCTTTTCTTTTATGATTTTTACCCCATAAAACACATGGTGTTGCACGGTCTTATTCATAATGTGCCCCGCACTCCCCCTTAAAGCCCTTTAAAATTTAGACCCAAACTAGTAAACTGGTAGGAAATTAACCTGCTAAAACCTGATGGGGGATGAAGGAGTGGGGAGGCATGTATGACCATGGAGGGGGATCCCCCTTGAAAAAAAACCTTTTTTCCCCCCCTGGGAATTAAAAAGGGAAGAGCACTTTTAAAAGGGGTCACCCAAGCTGAATGATTACCTGCCGTTTCCCCCCCACCACAAACATTCATAACCTCTTGTATCTGGAAGTGGATCTTGAAGCCTGGGCCCCCTATAAACCCTGTATGAAGGGGGCCCATACAACCTTCGGGCAGAGTGAAGGGGCTGGCAGGGCTCTGCAGACCCGGCCCCATGGGACGGAAAAAAAAAAAACTCTCCTCCTTCCCTCAGCAGCTGAAAAAGCTTTGGCCCGATCAGACTTGAGGCAGTGTAGAGATGCAGATCCCAGGTCAACGAAATTCGTTAGCATGCTTCAATTACTGTGATAACAAAGGGAAAAATAAAAAAGGACGCCTTTTTTTTGCTTTCTGTTTGAAGGCCATGTTTAATTTCTTTGGGACTAGGGTATCCCTTTTTTTTCATATTTCTAAGCAATTTGATGTGCTGTCTGTTGTTGGCCAAAACAGCCACTGGACATTCAAAAATGGTGGGGTCCCGGACTTCCCCGTCGGAGCTTTTTAATTTAAAAAAAAAAAAAAAAAAATGAAGAATTTTGGACCTCCACTGCCAAGTGAACATGAGGACAAAAAGGAAAAGGGTTGTCAAAATGTGAAATACCCCCAATTCTTTTAAGGGATAGGGGTTGCAATGATCAGGGAAAAAAATAAAAATTAAATTTAAAATGATGAAAAGGTTCCCGAAATTAAAACATGTTACTCTGTCATTAAAAAAAAAACAACGGGTGAAAATCCCCAATCTGAAGAGGGGGAAGGCCGAATCCCCTTTTGAATAAATTTAGCCCTGTTGAGGGGAGGGTACACATATTTTAATTATCATATTTCTCCATATATGAAAAAAACATAATTTCTGTAGTCAAAAATAATGATTTTTTCCATGACACTTCAGCACTGCTTGATACTTACTATAGTTAAGGAAGTAAGTGCCAGAAAGAGGGAAAACCCCCCCTGCTCAGAGGCTCCAAACTTTGGCATTGGTGTAGAGAATCCCATGTCCTTTTCCCAAAAACACCAAAATATCAATCAGGGGGGAGGGGGTTCAACAAATAACCCGGGAAGATCATTGCTGGACCCAAAAGATGAATGACAGAGGATCCCCTTTACTGCAAACAATCACAAATTTGTGTCTTCCAAAAATCTATGTACAAAATGTTTCCAGGCTGCAGTACACTTCTGAGTATGTGTGGAAATCATGGAGCCATGAAAGAAAAATTTAATAGTGGCTACGCATCATTTTCTGTCTTAAAGAGTTTCCTATCGCATTTTTGACAACAGATTTATCTGTCATGAATGAGAAAAAAGATACCACCCCAAAAGGGCCATTCAGCAGGAAGGCAAGTTAGGAGCGTACTGACTGAAACAGCGGGTTGGCACCTAGATAGCAGTTTAGTTAAATCTGGTTGTGGAAAATGGAAATCAAGAAAAAAGGGTGGGAAAATAATATAGGAGTCCCAACAAGGTAGGGATGATGTTTGGTCCTCAGTTCATCCAAAAAAAAAAAAAAAAAAAAAATGCTTCACCCAGTGGTCATTCAGGGTCATAAATAAAAACCCGGATTTACCCTAGGGGAGATGAACTGTGAAAAATATCCTTAAAGTGCACCCCATTGACCCGCGAATAAATCAGGGTACCTAGGGGTTACGAACAGCTCAAAATTAAACAATTATGTAAGTGATTTATTAAATGCTTTTGGAAGGTATTTTTTTGGGGGGGCTGAAACAAATAATCTAATTTTTTTTATTTCTATGGGAACAAATTCGTTTTTTTATCAGCACTTGAAAGCCTTCTGGAAAAAAAAAAAGTTTGCATCCATCCCCAGGTACCACTGTACTTGGCTTAGTGTTAGCCAACTGTTGTACTTGATTCTGGGGCAGGGGACCCAAAAGGGGCCCCGATGTAAAATAAGCCAATGCTTTGCTTTTTGGTATATCCTTGGTCAATATCTTGGGGTTATAACCCGAGCTAGGTCTATTTTTTTATTCTTCAAGTGCTCTTAGAATCACAACATATCATAATTTTGTAAGAAGTATATTTACAATAATTCTTTTACTTTTTTCCCAAATTTGATACTTAATGATAAGAGGTCCCATAATTTTTAGGTAATATTCATTATATTGGTTTATTATTTCAGGGTGAGGGGGGGGGCAATTAATGTGTAATAAGTTTAAGTCATTAAGGGTAATACCAACTTTATTGGTAGTTGTATATGGTGTTTTGAAATGTAATATTCACATTGTGTTTGTCTTATTTAAGGTATTGTGATTTTGGTAGCCCTGTACCATCCATGTTGTAAATTCTCTTTCCTCACGTGACACGTGCCCAGGGATATTCATAAATTGAGGAAAATTTAAATGTCATGATTATTCAGATTGGTGTGGGGTTAGTTTTCAATGTGTGTATGAGTGGGGGGAGGGATGAGGGGTCACCTGGGTTGCAGCACAGGTTTCTTAATAATGCATTTGTAGGTCTTGTGTTTAAATTTTTTGCGAGTTGTAATATGGGTGATTGTCATTTAAACTTGGTGCATTATTATTGTGTTTGAGGTTGTAATTTAGGAGTTTTATTTATAGCCATTTTGTGGGCCTTTATTTTTTATACCTTTATTCCTTCTTGAATTGTGGTATGTTTTAAAAACTTGTATATAGTATAGTGTTAGGTGTTGCCTGGATTGTTATGTGTTTTATATATGTGTTATTGATGCTGTCCTTGTTCAAGTCATTTTTTAATTTTAAGTAGCAGGGGAATGTAGAATGTATTCATTGGTGGGGGGGGGGGGGAGTGTAAGCAAAAATGAGTAGGTTCCACTATATTATGAACCTTGTGTACTTGTGAAACAAAGTATGTAGAAGCAGTCGTAGGTTGTGTTAAGTTTATTTTAATGTCTTTATGTATGTGCTTATTCGTAGATTGTGTAGTTAATGTTTAGATGCTCATCACAGTGTCAATGTTACATAATTGATATATGTACCTTATATATTTGTACATGAAGTTTTTTAAAATAAAAAATTAAAAAAAAAATATTCATATATATAATGATTCTATTGCTAATGACAATCTGTTACTTACCTGACAAGTCCTTACAATTAAAATTCAATTAAACTACTAATAACACAAATTTTACAATGTTAATTCTACTGAGTACTATTTTACCTGTTGAGTTTAAGCTTGAAATTCAGTGAGGAATTTTTGTCATGTTTATTTAAAAATTCAGGCCAAATGAATTATTTCCTCTACAAATTTCTATTACAGCCACTTTTCAAAGTGCTCACCCATACAATAAGGGTGAGCACTCTTGAAGAGTTGTGTAAAAAAAATGAGTATGTTGAAGTAGCATAATATACAGCATACATGTACAAGTACTATATGATCAGCCTGGGTAAGAGCAGGTTGTATAGAATATGTATGGTATAATCTGTACAGCTTGGTTAAGAGTAGTTTGTTCATTTAGTGTAACAAAATTGTTTTGTAAATATGTACAGTACAGTAATAAATTATCAAATTTTTCCACCAATGAACAGTTCAAAAATTTGCCACTGACTATTGTTATATTCAGTTAAGTTTGTTAAACCTATAAGAATTCATTCACTGTATTTTCAGGGGCACAAGCAACCAATAATCATACACATGCACCATCAACATTGCATGCATAACTTGGTTGTCTCAGATGACCCAGGCAGTCTGGGTGCTTGTGCTCTTAATTTATTGTTTAACATTTTATGTGAATTAATTTTCTTGACTTATGTAGTACTTTCTCTTTTAAATATACACTTGCTAAAGTCAAGTTGATATGAGTTATGGCTAATAAACAGAATTAGAAAGTTAATTTTCCCATTCTAAAAAGGTTAATCTTTCCAAATCTTATGAAGAATATTTTTTCTCTACTGAGCTTAATTTAGGTTCAAATTTCTGCTCAAATAAGTCAACAGAATATAATGATGTACCTAGGTCACAAAAATCTGCCAATGCAAATTTTTCTAAATACGGATTTATGTGTAGTTATGAGAACCAATATTACATTTATTAAATCTCATTATTCAGCTGCGTGAAAGTACTTCATCACTGGCACAAAAACATGCATTTTATGTATACTAATATTTTCAGTTCAAATTTTGATTTATTTGCCGGTAACTCGACAACACTGTCATTCATTTTCTACATGTATAAATGTTTAATACAAAGCAAACATTATTTGACTGCATGGTCAAATTTGTGAAAAATAAAAGAATTGTAAGATAAATAAGCATATTTATATCTGTATCTGATATACTAGGTACACTTATTGACCTTAGTGTACAGTCACTGAGGATTTTTGTCTTGACATAAACTTTTTAATTACACTCATTGACTAAGTTAAACCATTAAAATAAGACAGGATGAGGTTTTTGTCTTAATTTTCCTTTTCTTAAAGATAAAACTTATGCAAAATTTTCACCATCAAATCAATTGCTATTAGACAAATTTTTGAATACATGACAAATATTTAATTCTGTTCATTGAATCTATAAATCAATTCATGCAAATCACCGACAACCTGTTGATTAGTGTATTCAATAATCACTCACGTCTGGGAATCATCCTCTAAACTGGCTCTAGCAAGCATATATACAACCAAATATTTTACAAAACTCCATGAACTTACTATATAACAGTTTATTTTCACTCAGGGCAGAACTGTATCATAATAGGTACGAAGAAGAGACAAAATTTCATATTTGGATCTAGAGCAATTTTCACCACTTCACTTGTCGCAACCAGACTGGCGGGAGTGACCGAGCTCTCTCTCACTCACTCTCTCTCTCTCTCACTCTCTCTCTCTCTCACTCATCTGTCTCACTTAACATGCAAACTATTGCAATACCCTCACACATATATACGCATTTCCTTCCTTTAGGGATTTTCTATAAATTGAGTTTATAATAATACAATTTTAATGTTAGATTCAGAAATAATGAAAAACGGGAAGAATCTGCCTGTATATATTCAAGTGTGATTCGATTACTTGTGGCAGCAGTATAGCAACTGAAACCTTTATGCACTGATTCTCATAATAGATATTAAATCCTTTTATAAATAACTTTATTATTTACAATGATATAGGAAAAGAGATTCCAATCAGAGGATCAGCGAGACAAAATGAATGTATTCTGGAGGTTATACCAGCCATACTCCAGATATGTTGTTGTTGACTTCAGTGTTTGTTGGAAGGTGCTACGGTGTTTCACCTGTGTCTCTTGTCTTCTGGCTGTCTTCCTCTGCTCTGGACCTTCTTGATATAATCCCACTAAAGTTTTCTGGGACGTTAGTGTCTCCTTGACGGGCTCGTGACACTCATTTAGACGTCAAACATCCTCGACTGTTTTAGTTTGTACAGATATACCAGGGTGTAGGGAGGGCCCGGTCACCATCCCTGGTGTGGTGTAGCCACGTAGCTCTGCCCTGGTGTGGTGTAGCCACATAGCTCTGCCCTGGTGTGGTGTAGCCACGTAGCTCTGCCCTGGTGTGGTGTAGCCACATAGCTCTGCCCTGGTGTGGTGTAGCCACATAGCTCTGCCCTGGTGTGGTGTAGCCACGTAGCTCTGCCCTGGTGTGGTGTAGCCACGTAGCTCTGCCCTGGTGTGGTGTAGCCACGTAGCTCTGCCCTGGTGTGGTGTAGCCACATAGCTCTGCCCTGGTGTGGTGTAGCCACATAGCTCTGCACTGGTGTGGTGTAGCCACGTAGCTCTGCCCTGGTGTGGTGTAGCCACGTAGCTCTGCCCTGGTGTGGTGTAGCCACGTAGCTCTGCCCTGGTGTGGTGTAGCCACGTAGCTCTGCCCTGGTGTGGTGTAGCCACATAGCTCTGCCCTGGTGTGGTGTAGCCACATAGCTCTGCCCTGGTGTGGTGTAGCCACGTAGCTCTGCCCTGGTGTGGTGTAGCCACGTAGCTTGCCCTGGTGTGGTGTAGCCACATAGCTCTGCCCTGGTGTGGTGTAGCCACATAGCTCTGCCCTGGTGTGGTGTAGCTACATAGCTCTGCCCTGGAGTTAGGCACACACGTCTACCTTCAAGGTTGGGAAACTCTTGTTTCCTTACATTTATCCTCCCACACTTTTGCATTATTACAAGCAGGGATACTTGGAGGCTAAGCTGTATACAGTTAACACTCTAGTAGCCCTTAATTACAACACCACCACCTCAACAATTATGTAAAGTGTATTATGTATAAGTGCGTTTTGTACGTGTATGGTTGGGGGTATGAAATTGGATCTAATCTTCTTCCACATAATTCCCTTATGCGGAACAATATCTCGGTCATGGTATGGCACCTAAAACATACTTCTGGAAGTTGAAAAAATATGTTAACCGGGGGGTCCTCTGTCTGTATATATATATATTTTATATAATATATAACTTATATAATATTATATTATATATATATATATATATATATATCTATTATATATATATATATATATATTTATATATCATTGTGGAACAAATTCGGTCAGTCTGGCACTGAAAATTTTTACATATAAATTTATATATATATTATATATATATTTATATATATATATATTTATATATATATGTATGTATGGTTGTATGTATGTATGTATGTATGTATGTAGTAGGTTAGTAGACAGCAACCACCCAGGGAAAGTACTACCGTCCTGCAGAAGACTGTGTGACGAAACAGAAACTGTACTTGTTTGGCATGATAGTAGGATTGCTGGTGTCTTTTTCCAGTTCCATAAACATGGCTAGGCTAGATAACAGGGATATTTGCTACTCCTACTATCACTTTGGTCACACTTCACAGACACGCAATTGCATGTATATATTACATACATCTAGGGTTTTCTCTTCTTTTAAATAGTTCTTGTTCTAATTTTATTTTTCTAGTGTCCCTGGGGATGTGGAAAATGAATCTTTCTCCGGTAAGCCATGATATCCGTATGAGGCGATAAAATGCCAGGAGCGATGGGCTAAGTAACCCCTTTCTTCTGTAGACATTTACTAAAAAAGAGAAAAAGAAGAAAAAACTTTATAAAATGGGATGCTTGAATGTGACGTGGCTGTAGTGCGGATGTACATGAAACAGATGATTTGGCTGTTGTTATGAATGAAAACAAGTTGGATGTCATGGCCTAAGTGAAACAAAGCTGAAAGGGGTAGAGGTGTTTCAGGGGGGGGAAATAAATGGGATTAAATCTGGTAGTATCTGAGGAGAGTTTGAGCCCAAGGAAGGGTTAGCCAGTAATGTTGAGGATCAGTTATGGAAGGAAGAAAAGAGAATGTGAATGTGTTATATTCAAGGATTATGTGGTTAAAGTAAAGGTTGGATGCAAAAAGTGGGTACATAATAAGTGTGTAATGCACCTGGGATGAGAGGAATGTAGAGGAGAGAGAGAGTTTTGGGAGAGGTTAAGTGAATGTATAGGAACTTTGACCAAGTGAGAGAGTAATTGTGGTAGGGGACCTGAATGCTAAAGTAGGAGAAACTTTTAGAGAGGGTTGTTGGGTAGTTAAGTTTGGCGGTGCCAGGGGTAAATGATAATGGGAGCCCTTGATTGAATTTGTATAGAAAGGGGTTTAGTTATAGGTTATACATATTTTAAGGAAAAGCGGATTAAATAAGTATACAAGATATGATGTAGGGCAAAAGGACTGTAGTTGTTGGATTATGTATTGGTAGATAAAAGACTGTGAGTGACTTCAGGATTTGTACAGGTTTATCGAGGGGCCACAGAATATCAGATCACTTTTTAGTTGTAGAAAACACTGAGAGTAAAAGGTTGATGGGATACAAGGAGAATGAAGCATCAGGGTAAGAAAAGAGAGAGGGTGAAGGTTTATTATCTAAAAGAGGAGGCGTAAGGGTTAAGATATAAACGCTATTGGAGGATAGATAGGCTAATGAGAGCCTAGGCAAATGGGGTCGAGAGGTTGGGGTAGGTTTAAAAATGTAGTGTTAGAGTGTTAGCAGAAGTTTGTGGTTACAGGAAAGTAGGTGCGGGAGGGAAGAGGTGCGATGGTGGAATGATGATGTTAAACGAGTGTAGAGTAAGGGAGAAAAGTTAGCATTTGAGAAGTTTTACAAAGTAGAAGTGATGCAAGGAAGGGAAGAGTATTATGGAGAAAAAGAGAGAGGTTAAGAGAGTGGTGAAGCAGTTGTAAAAGAGAGCAGGTGAGGAGAGTGGGTGAGATGTTATCAACAAATTTTGTTGAAAATAAGAAAAAGTTTTGAGTGAGATTTAACAAGTTAAGGAAAGCCTAAAGAACAATGGATTTGTCCACGCCCCCCTAAAAAATAGGAGAGGAGAGTTATTAATGGAGAGTTAAGAGTATTGGGTAGATAGGAGGGAATATTTTGAGGAATTGTTAAATGTTGATGAAGATTAGGAAGCTGTGGATTATGTGTATAGGGCCATGGGAGGTGAATAAACTTCTTGTAGGAGTGAGGAAGAGCCAGTGTGAGTGTGGGGGATGTTCGTGAGGCACCTTGCTCCAACCAACCCAAACAGTAATGTCTCACTTATTATCAACACACTAAGAACAAGGCCAAGGAGATGTAAATAATTATTCCTACTGCTTTATATACAAAAATGCTTCACAAGTACTGTCACAAGTTTTTGCAACCTCTTTTAAACAATAATCCATCGAATTCTCTACCTTCTCACCAGTTCTCAAAGTAGCAAGCGTCACCCCCGGTCCGATACATTTAGGAGGCGAAAATCAAGCAGACTCTGATATAACTAGATTGACCCATATCTCAATCTTTACCCTTCACTCTCTAAAATCTTTGGAACAAAATTTTATTTCTAAGCAAATCTAAATCCTTACCTCATCTCCCACAAAATAACTCATCCCTTGTCAGTTTGGGTTAATGCCTAATAAAAACGTTATGTATAATGCATATTATACATATGCCTAGAAGTGATTATATACTGGCACCTCACAGAAAATAAACAAAAGAAGTCCTTTGGGGAAGCTTCTTCTGATTGCCATTATAACTTTTGATGATACAGTTGTCCATGATTTGTTTGCACATATTATTATCACACGTACCAACTTTGGTAATATGACGGGCATTCATCTCAACTACCTCTAAATATATAACTTTAGGAAACAGAACAATAAGTGGGTACACAAATGGAGCCATAACATTTCATCACAACTAACCTATTGACTGTTGGTGTCCAAACTCAAGGGAAGTCTTGTCCTGGGCCCTCTTCTCTTTATCATTTACAATAAACGGACTACCAATTGCTCTCAAACTTCTCAAAACTATACTATTTGCAGTATGACACCTAATACGTCTTCTACTCACCCATGCCCAGGCCATACTAGCCCCATTACTATAAATACTGATTTCAGGTCAAATATCTCCTGGTGATGATTAACCTACTTCAATCTCAGTATTGAAAAGAACTACTTTCAATCAGTTTGGGAACAGCAGAAATACGTTGTTTCCATTGAATCATTATGATAAAAAACATTCCCACCTATCACAAAGCTCACAAGAGGGTAAATTCTTAGGAATCCACCTTGATAATAGACTCGCAGTCCAAACACTTGTACAACAAATTTCCAAGAAATTTCCATAGGACTAGTAGGCAGTCTATCTGTAAGACGGTACTATTGTTCACAATCAGATCGCCTTGCCTTTATATATCATCACTCCATTTTCAACCTATATCGCCCCCCTCTCCACCTTTAATGGGATTCTGTCGCAGGGGGCCTCAAAACAACACATACTTAAATCATCTCAGACCATTAATTAACCAACATATAGG